GAAACGATTAGTCGAGGTACGCGAGACAGGCGGGAGCAGAGACTTCGGCGGCCATGAAAGAATGGCGAAGCTTTTGTTTGTATGAATCCAAACGGAAGTGCCCGTCTTGTAAACCTTTTGTAAAGAATAATAACTCTCATCACATGGGTTATTCTTTAAACGTAAAAATATGCCGCTCAAAAGGAAATTGCAACATATAACGAAGGTTTAACAACCAAGATCTAAGCTGTCAATCAAACTCTTAGCCAATGAAAACCTCTTGGGATTGACGTCACATAATCACAACTTCGTGGCGCGCGATTTAAAACGGACGAAATAGCCGCAAACTAAAACGAGTCTCACGCACTAAATATTGCTGTAAAAAATGTTTTTTCTCGCGGAAAAATTGTTTTTTGACATGCTTGTCCCAATTAGGCTATTTAAAAAAAACTTTTTTTTCTTTGCAGTTACCCTTTAAAGGCAGACACGCGATTCACTTTGTTTTGTCTTCTCTTTTTCACATTCTTTTTTTTTTACATTATTCGCTTGATAGGCCTTCTTAGTTTCCACTGATTACCCTTACTCGTCTTTAATTACTCTTAATTCACTTTAATTTTTCTTTAATTCACTCTGATTCCTCTTAATTCGCCCTGTCACTCTTCTTAATGTCATTGCTTCTAATTCGCATGAGTGGCCACGTAAACGTTTTGGTACCTTCTGTGTCGGCGACACGTTTTCGCTGAAGGACTTTCAGCTTAGAAAACAGGACACAGAAGATCCCATTTCGGAAACCGGATTTACGTGGCCCACTACCCATGTCCATAGCTTGGCAAATGACCTAAACCTCGGCCCCAGCGATCCAATCAGCGCGTCGAAACGAGACACGTGACACAGCTGCGTACAAGCAAGGCGTCCTACGAGAGAAATAACGCGTTTCGCTCCTCCCCTCTGATTTGCTTGAAGCGGCCATCGCGTTCGCTTACAGCCACACGAAAACACAAAAGCAAGTTGAGAAACTTAACAAACGGCGAGGCCAAGGGAGACAGACAACTGCATAGAAGCTCCCCCTGCATTTTTGGTTGACTAATAGTATTTTAAGGAAAGGGAAGACAAGATGGTATAATGCATCTCATCAAAGTTCAAAGCTTTCTTCGTCATCAGGAACTGATAATATTAATTTGATTGTTTTAAAAGATACTGAAGTGTGTTCATTCTTTATTTTGTATAATATTTTTCCCCAGTCACTAGTGTCGCCTTGGTACCCGTTGCTTGGAAGGTGGGCAAGGTGGTTCCATTATTTAAATCCGGTGACGCACACTCCCCACTCAACTTCAGGCCATCTCATCAACTAGCGATCCCCGCAAACGTTTCGAAAATATAATTCATTCCAACATAACTAAATTCCTCGCAGCCAACTAATTTTTTACGTCATCTGATCACGGAATCTGTAAGTTATTCTCATGGGAGATCCCCAGCTAATATCATATACGAAATAATTTCTTATTGGCTTAGACAATGAATTTTATGGTGACGGCGCTTTCCAATATTTCTCTGAATCTTTCGATCTTGTTTCTCACCAACTACTTTTTTTTTTTAAGTTAAGCAAGCTAAACATTTATAGGAATATTATTAGTTTTTCGAACACTTTTTAAGCTAAACGAACTCAGTTCGTAACCGCTAATAATTTTGCCCCTTACCTTTACGCGGTCGGTTGGACTGTGCCGGGAGGCTGTGTTTTCGGCCCCCTGCGTTTGTTTCTTTATTTGTTTACATAGAGAACATAACCAAGTTCATAAACTTTGCTGACGACTGTGCATTTTTTTCGCGTTGTGTCCTCTAGTGCCGAAACGTTCATTCATCATACTTAACTAAACTTCTACTTGGTGCGACACGTAAAAGTGCATCTCAATACTAATAATTGCGAGTAATGCAAATCTCCCGCCATGGTAACAGTCAAAACTACTTAAACTATAACACTGTAGGGTCTGTGCTGCAACAAATGACGTCCTAAAAGTACATAGTTTTTTTTATATTACCCCCAACGTCTTCTTGCGAACGCATATTAACTATAGTGTAAATGAAGCTAATCAAAGGCTAGGATATTTCAGTCGAAACTCTTGTAAGGTACCGTCATCTCTAAAGCTTTTACTGAACCAAAACTTTTGTCCATTCCAAATCTTAAGTGCGCCTTTGCGGTACAGAATCCAAGCCTATACTTTCTTACTAAAAACATACAATCAGTTTAAAATCTCAGTGCAAGTTTCATTTGATCAGATTACAATTGTTGATCAAATGTTTTAGCAATGAACGCTACTTTATACCTTCGTCATCCCGCTTTATGCAAAAAAGTGCCTAGTCTAGCTTTTTTTCACAAGATGTACCATAAATATTATTTACTGAGAAGCGAGCTGCATTTTGAAACGTTATACCTGTCATCCTCTGCTGACTAGAGTCATAAAGTAGATGTCCCTCACTGCTGCACTCACATGCACTTTTTTTTAAATTTATTCCTAAAAAAAGCACACAATGGAACCACCTGCCCACCTCGATCGCTACCATAAGCGACCCACTCAATTTTAAATTTGCCATTGAAATGTTTTTTTTTTATTACTAAGCTTTTGTTCCTTTTATGTTGTTGTATTTTATATATGCTGTTTGAATTTGTTTTATTTTGATTTACCAATCCCTTCTGTAATGCTTTCGGGACTCGAAGATGTTGCAATCAATATATAAACAAAAATGTAGTGTTTTGAAGCAGAAGCTTGGAATGTCACCTTTAATTAGGAAAAAGAAGGGGGGGGGTGTTAAAGATTAGGAAAGAAAGAAATGTCAGTGTTCATGTCGTCAAACGCTTGAAATGAATGTTAAAAGAAATCGCCGAGGTGGCCAGGATTTCATCTTAGTTCGCCCGAGTTTAAAGCGGGCGTGGTTCCTGAGACTCGCAGCCGCTCCTGATTATTGTTATCTCTCGGCTTTAACAGTTGCCAATCGCAATGCACACGCACAGTGCTCCACTCACTTTTGCAACGCGTCTCGCCTAATAATGGCATTAGTTGAGGAGGCGTGCCCACTTAGACTCGCGCAGCGCTCGCTCGATGGCAGCAGTTAAAGTAACGTAGAAACTTCGCGTCCGGATATTGGCGTGTGTACCTACGCGCGAATACAACAATCTGGTGCAATATGCGTTTGCAAAATCACCGTTGTCTGGTCCAGCCGCTACAAAAGACTCGGCCCACCTTCGGGCTGGAAAAATCAAGAGACACTCAAAGTAGTATAAAATGTTCCGAGGATAATTAAAATTCATTTTTATTTAAATAAGTCGCAGACCACCCGCGTACCACCAATAGCTCATTGGTCATCCATCTCCAGGCGGAAATAACCCAGAGTCAACGGAACCTGTCCTGATTACTTAAATCTGGCATTGGTTAGACAATTCACGTCCTAAGATGCCAGATGCAAACCGTAATACCACAGAGTGAAGCCGAACTCTGACACTTGTTCGGTGATTTGGGACCGAAGACGCCAGATGACCATATAACCTTCACGCAGGAAGCGCTTGTTAGTCGCTTTAGGCCCATGGCTGTCAGATGACAGCTGAACTATCAGGAAATGAAACCTAAATTCGACCCTTTTTTGGCGATTTGGATCCAAAAATGCCAGATGGCAGCCGAACTCTTAGGTGGCAAGCCTAACTCTGGCACTTGTTTGACGACTTTGGTCCATAGCTGCCAGATTACAGCCGAACTAACAAGCAATGACCCTGACGTTAGCACTGGTTTTGCGATTTGGGCCTAAAAATGCCAGATAACCGCCAAACTACCAGGAAGTAACCCTGACTGTGGCGCGGGTTTGATGATTTAGGCACAACAAGGTCCGATGACAAGTGGACTACTAGGGAGTGCAGCCTAACTTTTGCACTTCTTTGGTGAATTTGGGTAGAAATACTCAAACGCATGACAAAAAGGCCAGATTTGGTTTTACTTTGGTTATTTAGGCTTCTCAAGCCCGAGAGCTCCCAGGCAATTGCCAAATTTTGTCACAAAGCTCTCTGCCACCTGGGTCAGTACTGGCAGAGCACTCTAGTGAGCGCTGAGCGCGATATCACGTATGGAGCCCTGGCTATTCAAACAATTGCCACTACACCCGGCTGGCGCTGGCGTGATGTCAGCTACGCACCAAATCTCCGCTCCGTAACCATGCTGCGCGTATTGGGCAACAATAATATGACAGCGTTTTTCAGTCGTCCGATAAAAAGTATAATTCTCTCAGAAAGCCATCTTGGCGGAGCTTTGGAGTTATCATGTGACAAAAAATGTTTGGGCCAATATTATATTTTATTTAATCTACAAAAGTTGTTATCGATAAACAAAGGAAAAACGCTATCATTGTTTCCTTTCCTTCTAGGCGCAGCATGGCCATACAGCGACGCTTTCTCACCCTTGTCTTTATTGCTTCTGGCACCCCACGCTGTTAACAGCATGTGCAGCAAGCAGCGCAAGCTCGAGCAGGGTTGCCTCCGGTTCTTGGAATACATTGCCGCACACGTGACTTCGCGCACGGTGTTTACTAAGTTTTTCTGCCTGTACCGGACGCACTCAAGAGAGGGAATACTCGCGTATTCTCTCTCTTTATTTCTTATAACTATACGTCAGTAAGAGAAACGCTAAACGGCAGACTAACTGAAGAAACTTATATTATATTTTCGTATCCATTTCTAGCTTAAATCTAGATGCTTATCTAGCAATATGACACTAATATGGTTCTTTGGTGTCGCAGTTTATTCTAGTAAAACCGGCCCATTAGAAAACAATTAACATGTGATTAACATATATACATGGTTATTAGGCCCGGTTCGGTCAAAGGCACCCAGACAATCAACAGAAAACTCCTGTGAACCCAAGGGCACACCAGTGCCCCCCCCCCACCCCCCCCCCCCCCCCCAAAAAAAAAAAAAAAAAAAAGCACACCAGTGCTTCCCCATTGTCTGGCCTCTAGCGCAAAAGTTGGAATTCCGAGCTTACTCTATGTCCGCCTGAGCAAAGAGCACGGTTGGCGGCAGCTTATAGGCGGCGGTCAAAAGGCCCATGGACACAACCCCAGCACCAATAAGAGCAGCGTTCAGGAACATGCCCATGAAGAAATGCCTGGGAGGAATGGAAAAGAAGTAGAAGCCACATAATCATTATTATCTGTCTCTGCGGGGAAGAAATTCCTAGGAAAGAAAGGACAAAGAGAGGGCGGAGGAGCTGCAGATGTCTAACATCGATACAAAGCGAAGTGGCCGCCCCTATTGATCAGGGTTGACTGCTTACAGCAGCAAGGGTTTAACCCCTCAGCTCCTTCTGTTTACAGTTCCCAAAAGCAAAGAGCCGAGTTTGAAGAGGCTGCGCCGTTGAGGTTGTTTCTTTTTTTCCGATAATAAAATGCTGCTTTGAACAAACAAACAAAAAAACTGTAGGAAGAAGGACTTACTTTTGAATCACAAAAATAACCAGCGTACCCACGAGGCAGAGCTGGATGAGCACTGCGAAGTACCAGGTTATTTCCAAGCACTGCAAGTAGAAAACAAAAACAAAAAAAAACGAAAACGAAACAAAATAAACCTGAATGGTTGCGTGCGGAGCGCGTCAACTGAAAAAAAGTATATATATATAGAGAGAGAGAAGGTGTTTGGCAGAAGGGAGGAAAAGACTGGCGTAAATATTGACTTAGGTCAGCATCTAACTTTCTGTAATTACGTTATATACGAGAGTTTCTGAATTGATGCACAGTCTGAATGTTGATTCTTTCTACACTTATTTCGATCGTCTATGACCCCCCACCCCCAAAAAAAAAAAAAAAAAAAAAAAAAGTCAGGTTTCTGAGCTGTGGACGCAAGCACGGTGACTGAAATTCTGCCAAAGGGTTATGGCGCGTGCCCAAAGGCGTTCCAAAAACTAGTAGATAAATTAGGCAAAGGGGTAGAGGGCCAGTGTTAAAAAGGTGTATAGCGCGGGAAAACACCATGCAGATAAGTATTACAGTTGTCAAAGATATCGTGAGAAAGACCGTCTCACGATATGTTTGAGGTGTATAGCGCCTTTGCTTTCAAAACGATAGCAAATATGGCTGCTGGCGTATGCGGAGAGCTTTCGGAGAACTGCGTAGGTCGTTAAAGTCGCCTGTTTTTTTTTTCTTCTTTTTTATGAGTGCGAGCCGTTTTGCGTTAACCGAGGTATTCAGCGGAAGAAATACTCAACCGACGCAATTTGCAACAAGCAACTGTTGCAAGTGCAGGCTTTCAGAAACGCTGAGCTTGTGCTTGTTTTCGTAGCGGGACTGGCCTAAAGCGCGGTTCGAACAGGCCCGCAATACAAATACGGGTGCCGGAACCCGTGGTGACGACAGCGCTCCCTCCGTACGGGCGGTGACGTAATTACGGTTTCCGGCACCCGTAGTCAAGAGTTGAAATATTTTCAACTTTCTCCTTTCCGTGTCGTGACGTAGGTTTCCATATTTTCTCCGCGGTTTGAAGCGCGCTTAAGCCTAGCGTCTCACCCCAATCAAATTCCTTGATCTGGCTTGATCTAATCGTTCGCGCGTTTTGATGCTTTATAAATATTTCGGTCCACGTAAAAGCGAACCCCTACTCTGAGAATCGTGGAAGCACCGTGACTGCAATCATAATTTTAGTACTGCGAGGGAACGAACACAGGTAAGAATTTCCGAGCATTTTGACTTGAAGCAATAGGCTGTTCGCCTCGCATCCAGTTCATCCAGGTATGTATGCGTCAATTCCGTTCGGAAGGCTCTTAGCTTCAAAGTTTTGAGCAATTCACCAGGTTCGCTAAATCGAGTATTGGGGAATTGTAGCAGACCGTTTCCGCAGCCCGCTAAGCACCCGGATAGCGCTCCGTATTCCGCCACAAGCCCTTGAACTATGCAGACAATGCTGACGGCGCGCATGCGCAGCTGCGGCGTTTTCTTCGCGGATACCGTAGCGGAAGAGGAAAACGGTCTTCTACAATTCCCTAATGTTTTTCGTCACGTTATTGATCATCATGACGTTTAACCACTTTACAAGCGGATACTATGCCGGAAGACATAGTATGCCGGAAGACACAACAGAAGAGCTGAAAGGACTGCGCGCAGTCCTTTCAGCTCTTCTGTTAACAAAAAACTTAGGAAATTTGACAATATAAACACGCGTGTTTATATTGTGAAATTTCCTAAGTTTTTGCGATCGCTTTGTACCGCACATCGGCATATACTGAGAGACGCTTGTATTATACCGTGGCTTCGTGCATCACGGAACGCTAGAACGCGGTTTCAGGGTCACGTTTTGCGACTATCGCAGGCGGATTAAGGCACGTGTACACTTGCGGATTCGAGGGCGGATCCGCGCAGGTGGAAAGTGGATTTTGTATCCCTGGTGGCCAAATAGACAGGTCACTGGCAGAGAACATGGACATGGGTTCCCGCACTGCTCCAGAGTTTCTTGCAGCGAGGAGTTAATTTCACTACCTGGCTGCAAAATTCACTTTACGCCTGCGGTCAGCCGCGCGCGAATCCGCAAGTGTAAACGCACTATCAGATGTGAAAGGAATAGCATGTGGGCTCAAGACACGGTGGACGCAGACGCTCCGTTTTCGTGGCCGCATCTTTAGGGCATTCCAGGGATGGTTAGTAGTGTGTTCTAATGGGTACCGACACCGTTTTCCGCCGCGCGGGCTTCTTTCACGACTAGCAGATGGTGTCGGACGGCAGACTAGACGTAACGGACGTCGAGACTGGGAGACAGGCTTGCGAACGTTGTCAGCCGAGGTAGTCATGCCAATCCAGCAGTAAAGGGTGGGGCCGTCATTCTGTGCGCGGAGCCTAGAGCGTGCGGTGAACTCGACCTAAACTGCGCCTAGCGTCGTGCATATTGCACATACAAAAAAATATTTTCTTCCAGAAAAAGTAAGAAAAATATTTACGCGCCCCATTGAATCCCTTTATGTTTTGTATATAATTTTTATTTTTTTAAAGGTGGGATGCACGCCGCAATCAAACCACGATACGCACCCTATCTTGCGGCGAAACGAATAGGTTGTTGACAAAGAGAATGTTGAGCCACCAGTTGGTTCGACAGTTGCTGGCCACTGTGTCCATTGTCTCCTTCCACATGGGACCAGAGCCGATGACTGGAAGAAGCATCGCCACCGCAGTAGCCAGCAGCATTGCAACTGCAGCTCTGAAAATGGACACTCGATCTCATGTAACTCTCATAATAACATAGATATTAGAAATTTGTAAATCCTATGAAAAGACCCACTAAACTTAGCTATTTAGGGATGAACGTATTATGCAACACAAAGGACCTTATTTCCATCTTCATTTAAACTCCACAAAAGACACCTCTCTTGACAATTCCACAATCAGTGCAATAACCTATTATATATAGGGTGGTTCAAGTCACCAGGCTCGATCTAAAATGGACCGTGAAAATCGACGCCTCCACGTAGCAATCTAAACTCTTCGTCAAAAGTGTAATTCACAGGTCGGTTTTTTTTTCTGTAAAATAACAAAGCGTAGCTCTCCTTCTGTAAAAAATAAGGCCAAGGAACTTGCCAGGGTCTACGGCGGGTAGCAAAGCAGACGACAGGGGTCCAGTAGCGGGGAGTGTTTGGCGTTCGTATTGATAGATGGCGCTACCTCCTCATCGCGACGGCTCGCGACCACCGTGGTTTATTAAAATGAATAAAATCTTCTTTTTGGAAATGTACCTTCGGTTAAAAAAATAAATGCGAACAATAAAAGCAAAACTTAAAGTAAAAACACGCGTCTGCATAACGGCGGTGCTTTTGTTGCCAACGAATTTTGTCTGCGAGTCGTCTGCTATTTTTCGCTGGTCGGCTGTATTTTCAGACGCTGCTCCCGACGCCATCTATCAATATGAACGCCAAACACACCCCGCTACTTGACTTGGTCGTCTGGGTCGCCGCCCGCCGTAGACCCTGGCAAATTTCTTGACCCTATGTTTTACTAAAAGAGAACTACGCTTTGTAATTTTACAAGACAAAACCTACCTGTGAAATACATCTTTGACGAAAAGTTTAGATGGCTACCTGGAGGCGTCGATATTTTTACGGTCCATTTTAGATCGAGCATGGTGACTTGAACCACCCTATACATAGTTCCATAGTTTTGTCAGAAATCGATAGCCTATCAAAAGTTAAGTATTTACATATTCCTCTTGTCTCGCTGCTCAAGGTTCGGTAAATATTGCTATCATCAACATCGTTTGACAGTCTCTTTTAGGACTTCGTATTTTTCTTTATCCACTTAGTTAGCTCCCGAGATGCGTAACGGGGGACGCTGTCTGGAAGCTTAAAAAGAGGTGAAACTGGGTGGTTGGCGCCAACTTTAGCAGCTATAGATAGCTGTGCATAATTTAAACAATAATGTCAGCAAATTTAAAGTGGGATAGGAATTTGAGATGTTTCGTATGCCTATGCGAGGGCAGGTACCTGTACGCCTTGTGCAGAGTGTTGAAGAAGGGCTGTCTCCGCTTTCTGGTGATGTCATGGTCGACCAGACCATGGTAGCCAAACAAGAAGCCGCTGAAAGTACCAAGGTTGTCTTAATGACCTTATATTGACGGAATAATTAGAAATGAACGTTTCAGTCAACATTAGATGTTTAAGCTGTTATCTGTACTTTAATCATACAATCACCCTCATTTCAAAGACGTCCGCACAGCCTCCAGATGGCTTGTGATTCTTAACTCTTTCTTCATTTTAGGTTAGCTTCTATATTTCGCCATGCATGATGAACCAATTTATGATTAATCGTAACTATTTCTTTTCTCCAAATATGTACACTACTTCTATACCTGTCCATTTATTCCGCTCATTTTCGCGTATTTTGGTAGACCATTTCAGTACTAAAGTACACCTGACCGCAGATCACACATTGCAACGTACCATATATAAAATCGTACGAGGTAATATTCCGGAAGTATGCCATGAACTCATGGAGACTTTGCTTTTGAATCGAATTAGTGAACTAGCCTGAAATGTCTTCAAAGATGGCTGTGGGGACAACTTGGTTAAATGGACGGCGACTGCTTTACCGCTGAGGAATTATATTGTGTCCCCTACAATTTTCCCGAGCCCAAAACTGGGAAGATTTATTAAATAATGCATTTATTTATAGAAAAGACTTGGTGTTCCGAAGACTTATAGAAGGTACAATTCCAAACATAAAATAGTACACACAATATCATTATAGTAATGCAATATACTATAAAGGTTACAAAAACACAAGAAATGGTACGTATGAAAAAATATAAAAATTGGGAACGCCTTCTGAAACGAGTAGTCCCACGCTATTATGCATAAAACCGACTTCAGGCAAAACTTTACACTGAATAATATTTTTATTATACAGTAAATGCTTCTTAAACCTCTACAGAATATTTATTCTCTCTTCCTCGAATGACCCATTCGATTTGAGTCGTGGGTTGGTGATTTCAAGTGTTTACGTTTATCGTGAGGAAAGTCAGCAACGTTAAAAAACATTATTTTGCTCTCTGCTGCTCGCTCGCACTCCCTGTGAATAGACTGAGACTGTACAGAATCGCGAAAGATAGAAAGGAACTAAAAAAATCCAGCCATAAACTAAACGTATGTTCAAAAAAGAATGTGCACAAAATTCCTTCACGCATAAAACGTCCATCATATGCGCCGGTTTATTTCACATATCTAACTGGACATTTAATAAGACTGCGGCAGAAACGAAACAAAATACTCCGTGAATTGAAGAACCCACGGTTTATTATACCCTAAAGCCTGCACGGGGTAAAGACGGCACAAAATAAAACACCAAATATCAGGTCTCAATGGGCCTAGAGCAGTGTTGCGCTTCGTTCAGCCCTAGGCTGACAGTGGGGTAGGAGCTACAATCCGGCCGGACGAATCCAATACCTCTCTCATTGCCTGCTCCCGCTCCTATGGGCGTGAGCATGATCACGTGGCAGAAGATAGCCGAACGACCGAACCAACGAGCACATAACTTCTACTGTATTGAGAGCTTAGAGGCGAGCGCTGTATACATGAACATCTTTGATAGCTTCATCGAACCAGTCTGCATGCGGACGAACCTTTATCGTACTACGTTCGAGACCTGATCAGTACCAGAAAACTAGTCGTTCAAGATGGCGCCGGTTGAAAATTAGATATTCGAATAATCGATGGTTTTCATCGTTTCACACAAAGTGTTTGCGCAGACAACGCTGCGTTCCGATAAAGCCAATCAATCGGCGCCAGCCGTGTGTCGCCACAGCAGTCGTCATCTTTGTCCATAGAATATAATCGGCTAACAATTCGAAAAGAAAGCACCATTGAATGTGCACTGAACTAGCAGTTTTTTTTTCTTGCGTAATCGGTTTAGCTGCTGATCGAAAAGGTCCAAGTATGACGAGCGCCGTGACCTATGGATCCGCATGTTTGGCGACATCGAATCGTTGCATCGGCTGCACCAACAGTTAGTTCGAAGCAAAATATCAAGCACAGTTATTATAGTTTTTTTTCCCAAAGCATCTTGGAACGGGCAATTATGCGAGCCTGTTGCTGGGTTCAGGCGCATACTTCCCCGTAACCCCCATGGCCGTCCCCTCTAGGCGGCCAAAACCTCGGGTGCATTAGCCCGAGGGACCGAGCTCGCATTCCAGCGGACATGGTCACCCGGACACAAGACGAACGCGGCTTCATTTCCGCCTGCCGGAAGTCCCTCGTCGTGAAGAACGACGGGAAGCCTGATCAGCTCCCCACCGACAGGGCGCTGTGTGTGGCTCGCGGATCGGCGACATGGCGGGGACTCACTTGAGAAAGATTAATGTGTCTGTGGCAAGGGTGGAATTGATGATCATCTGGAAGGAGAAGTCCTTGGCGAAACCCACCGCGATCATCAGGTTTCCTGTCAGGAAAGCGGGAAGTATTGTAGACGGTGCTTCGGGGGCAATGAATGACAACGCGCACATTTAAAAAGTTCGCAGGAACCTTTATCTGGAAATCTCTATAATGCATGGAAGGCAGCAGGGAAGGAGCAATTGATTATATTTTTTAAGCAGAAATCAAACAGCCATTTTGTGGGGACAAGACCTTATATTTTTATCAATTTTTTCCCATATACGTAGAGGCAAGAACAAATTCCCGCATAAGCCACGCTAAATATTTTTATTCTTTACCGGATAGACTGAATTGTTGCATAGTTCACGTAACTTCAGGCAAGCAGACGGACGAACGGAGAAACTGTTTATGTGGATTAGAGCGTTTTGTTCACGAGCATCCATTTCTCTAAAGTGCACTCAGGAGTAAACTGTAAATCCATGCGAAACATTTGCGTGGAAACAGGTTCGAAAGTGTTATGTTTCTGCTGCTGGGCAAACGCTATTTTCAGAGTGGCTTTGTGAACACGAAAGCCTTGTAAGCATCCCGTGCATATTTATTCAGTTTCAACTTTTAAAGCCTTCTCAGTAGATAGTGCATGAGTGTATTCTGAAGATGCCTTTCAAGAGGCATCCCTTGGGTTCGAGATGTAAATATAATGGGGTTTTCCTAAAGTTGAAGCGATACTACGTTTTTATCTTGCGTGTCTCGATTCGCACTTTAAGATATTAGTATTTTGTGTTCTTCTTTGTGCAAAAATGCATACATTTTCAGTACTTATTTAGTGCGGCACACATAAAACACTATTTTCTTATATTTTTTTTTTTCAGAAAACATCAGCATTTCCATTTTTGAATCAATATAAAAATTCAAACAAAATAACAATAAAAATGGCGCCTCAAAGAAGCTTATAACGCAAAGGATTCCTCTTGTGCACTTCGTTTCTTGCTGTGTGTTCAATGCAACTTGTCCTCCAGCTTGAGTTTTCGTAAAAATAAAATGAGCCGATGTTTATATTAGCTAAGGAAATATGCAATATATTTTACTCGTTGGAAAGGACTCGGCGTCTTCCTGGTGCATGAGATAACTATAACCTTTTATCGCGACTTACTAAAGAAAAACTTGAGCTTTTTGATGGCCGGGATTCAGACATTCTTTTGCTAGCGACTTTTGTTATTTGCGACTGAAGTTGGTGGGAATGTTTGCAGTGATAACCATACTAAAAAGGGCGCTTTAGAACTTCTGCCGGAGGTATTCGTAAACAATAAACGAGCAGAAAATTTCACGTCATTTATTTCAAACACAAGAACTAAAGTATACTTTGATATATATTTAATTGGTAGATCTTAAAGACACAATTTTTAAATCAATGTTGTTTTAACATAGCTTTTCTTCCTACTTTAAGTGGGACGCCTAACTAATCTAAAATGCGCATTTCGCCTTATTCCGAAGCTTAAAAAAAACAATGTAACATGTTCTGAATGTTTAGGCTTTAAGGTTTTGTTTTTGGAAATGTAGTGAAAGCTGCCAGTAACGCGGTCTGTGAAGGTAAGTTATACCTCCAGGCCGGCATAATATGTGTTGTAACTGTCACCACAAGTGGGTAATAAATATAACGCTTTCATTAATTTTATAATATTGAAGATACAAATGTATTAAAAAACTTAGTCATTAAAGACAAACAGACCATTTTGATTTTTATTGAAAGTGCGTCGAAAGTGCACAGGTGCATTAAAGGGGCCCTGCAATGACTATTTTACTAATTTTTAATTTGCACCGAACCTGAGCGCACTGAACGTAATAACTTAGTGAAACTTTTCTTTTCTCGAAATTCCCTTTATTTTAAAAGTTATAGGCAAACTAAAATTACAAAAACAAGCAAAAAATAACGTCCCTCATGACGTCCTTGGTTGCTTGAGAGTGGCCGTGAACTAGAGGAGAACTAGTGAGCTCATCCAGCGCTCACGGTTGCCGCACTCCGAGCCGACGGCGCGAGAGGGCGCCACTAAAGCGTGTTCTGGATAGTCTGTATGCAGCGGGCAGCCACAGCGGCTCTCATTGCATTTGCTGCGTGATTAAATACTAACTCGGCATGACACTTCATTGGCCAGAAACGACAGCAAACACGGGGTAAAGATCAGTTCAGAATGGAAGTTACTTTGCGCTGCCATACCGCGAAACGGCCAAACCGCAAGACAAAGCTTCTCGCCGAAGGCCTTCGGGACGCTCGGAGCCGGTCGGATCCTCCTGCCCAAACGACCGCAGCGCTGCCGCGTACATCCGGGACCTTTCCGTGTCGGCGCCTGATCCCACTACTCCTTTCTAGTATACGCCGCCTTTTCCACCGCCTGGTGGCGGATATGTCGACGGGTTATTTCTTGTTTCCGTACTTTATGAACTGCATTCGTTTTGTTTTTTTATCTAAAATACTGAACAAAAACTACTTTTATAAATAACTGAACCGGTTCGCGCCAATTATATTTTGTATTTCGACTAAAAAGAAGCTTTTAGCGGCTCTGACCAGTAGTAAGCCCAGGACCAAAGACGTCACATTTTGCGCGCTTTCGGTAACGCGGGTCGCCCTCGTCGGTGGAGGGGGTTTCCGCGCCGTCCGGTTAAAATATGACGCACTGATATTTAGTTACTCTCTCCGTGCCCGCTGGCTTCCCCGAACCCCAAGAGACGTGGAAACCGCAAAAAATGTGGACGCTTAAATATGATTGCAGGGCCCCTTTAAAGTTATCATGTATGCAGCGGGTGGAATGCCGGCTGTACGAAAGCGCGGAAAATAATAGACAGATAAACTTAGTGGGCGCGCTTCTCTTGCACCTGTTTCACGAGGGGTAACTTTAGCGTACTATCGCCCCTACCAGGTGCCTCCATCTTTTTTTTTAATATTCACATCTTTTGTGTTTTTTCCGACACTCAGCATGTCTATCATCGGAAGCATATGTCGAGCTTAATAAGTAAAATAATTTTAAAACCTTTAGTTAATTAACTAACCTTTTGTGAAGACTATCTCACTATATTATGTCCTCCTGGCCATATAAATCTCCGGCGCATACGGTATTTCTGTAGATTTCACGACTTGTTTACCCACATTTGCAAATCACTAAGAAAACGCTCTGTACAGACATTTTGTTTATCTCATTGTATACCTAAAATTGAACATACCAACTACTCAAAAAACATTGCCATTACAACGAACATGATGTGCAATCTGTTTACCATGGTGCGTAACAATATCCTGCATGTTGCGAATTTGCTGCTTTGGTGCATAAAACTACCGTGGCAAATTGCTAGTACATTTCTTGTCTCCTCTAGAGTAACAACTTTGTTGCTCTCAGGTGTTAACATAACTAACATCTCATAAAACACATTTTGGGGCTCGCTCCTGTCAAACAATGTTGAAGGACCCATTTTAGTGTTGCGTTCAGATATGAAGGCATTTTTAAAGAAGTTCGGATTTAGAGAGGTAAATATGTAAGGGGTAAGTCATCAATGGGTTTCACCAAGATTAAGACTTTGCACTCATGTGGCTCACATTTCAGGTTAAATTTATTTACCACACACTCCGAAGTATACGCCTTTAAATTACTGATGTATTTTAGATTATATTTGCATTGAAGTCGTATTTTCAATTTGCAATCTTAAAACCACGTACGAGAAAAAAAAAAAAGAATCGAACGAGACTAGATTGAATTCATGCACTTAATCTAGAGCTTTCCTTATATGAAAAAAAATGCGCCATATCTAGCTCTTATTGTTGCCAGATATATCTTGAAAACTCTGCTAGGATTGGAGGAATCTGGAGGTTATGTTTCGGAACAGCCTTCTAAATGAGAACTTTACATAATCCAGCTTGAAAAAAAAATGACTCCTGTCGGCCTTCATTGTTTGCATAATTCATCACCCTTCGGGAGCACAATGTCTCGAACACGCAACAAAGATATTGGATCTTGTTGATGAAAAAGTATGCATTTGAAAACACAGATTTTGTTTTCAGATGTTAGCCTTTCCTATTTCAATGGCAATCTAGCAAGCAAACATATAGACTTCGAACAACTCTACATTATTAAAAATGCAATAATAATGAACCTATAATTTTTTATAAATGTTTCGCTTTAAAGTTTTGTTTTAGTCAAGCTCTATGTAAGGAAGACGTCGTATCATATAACAATATTTTGGAATAATTATTCTGAGGGATGGTTTGAAGCTTGCTTCAATTTGCATCTTGATAGTACGAATCGTACAACTGTTGCCCTTGTAAGCAACTAACATTAATGCTCCGTTTAGTTGTTTTCTGATCCGGTGAACAAGTAATGGTTCAATTAATATGTACAGTCGAGTAATGATTTCTTTCAATTGCCTTTTAGCTTTTGATGTTAATATAATACAAGCTATACCAACAAAACCAAATGATTTTCTTTGGTAAAGGTGGTGGTAGAGATTATAAAAAGCGTGTAGATTATCACGACCCAAAGTTTAAAACTCATTTCACGTGCAGTATTTGTTTTTGAAGCCGCGAAAATGAGCACCGTCACTAAACAAGTTAAACAGCTGGTGCTATTAAAATAACGCGCACGTACAACGTGTTGTTTCCTACCAGAACCACACAATTTAAAAAGGATGTAATCATTATTTGAAATAAACTTAAAACTACTTCGGATTTTTTAAAAAAAAAAATGTAGAAAGGGACAAGCCTACTTTTATGATCATTTACCCCTACTTAGGCGGTTGGATAACTTTTAGCGCATGTACAAGCTGTGGCGTTTAAATAAAAGAGATAAAGAGAGAGTAAAAACAACCACGAATAAAAAAAAATGAATCATGGAGGAGGCGCAGGGGAGGGTGCAACATTAAAGGGATGCTGATCCGAAATCTGGAATCCCCTAAACACGCGGCAAAAGCGTGCAACGGGATGCTACAAACACCAAAACATCACTCATAGAGCGATATCTCGAACGGATGACCGCATTTTTTAAAAAAAGACGCGCATTTTACAGGAATGTTGACGTCATATGCTTC